ATTACCCATGCCCACACCAGCCTGTGCGGGAAAGGCGTTGGCAGTGTGGGACTCCTAGGGTGCTGGTGCGGGGTGCCCCCCTGCCGGCACCACCCTTCGGGATGGCCTCACCCCGGCACACACCTCGGCAGGGTGGCTGGAGCCTGGGCAGCCAGGGCAGGTGAATCCCGTGAGATGTCTGTGCCAGCCTAAGAGCTGTGGGCAGGGCCTGCGGGCAGCCCCAGCGCAGGGCTCTTACGGGATGCAGGCTGCCTGGGAGGTCCACACCCAGCCCCAGACTCTGCCAGGCTCTGCACGGCCCCGCACGCGTGCCTGGGTCTGGGGTCCCCTGGGACATGTGGGGCCAGGCCAGCCTGGTGCCTCCAGGTCAGAGGACCCAAGGAAAATCCTGCTCGGTGCTGATCCGCTTTCCAAATCATGCGACAGCTCTGGCCTTGGCACCCTATGCTTCGCCCCACAGTCTTGGCCACGAATATTTCAGCTCTGCAGAAAAGCGGGAGGTGCCCCACCTCGGTGGAGAGGGCTCATGGCAGAGACGTCCCTTTCTTCCCCCCGCAGATGTACGGGAAGTGGTATGACATCGCCGTCGGCACGACCTGCAAATGGATGAAGAACTACAAGGAGAAGTTCAGCATGGGCACGCTGGTGCTGGGCCCCGGCCCCAGCGCCGACCAGATCAGCACTGCCAGCACCAGGCTGCGGTACGGGATGCTGAGGGGGGGGTTCGAGCCGCCCCCGCTCCCGGGGGTGCTGCGTCTCCCAGGGGCTGGGACAAGACATGGGGCTTGCTTGCCCTGGCTGCTGTCGGAGCCCTGAGGAGTCACTAGATTGGGCTGAAGTACCCAATGCCTTGGGCAGGGGGTTTTTGGGGGTCCCGTGCCATGGCCTCGGTGCCCCAGACAAGTTTTTCATGCGACAACCAGGAAGAATGGTCACTCGGAGCAGCTGATTGTTTTCCTCCTCCCTCCAGGCAAGGTGACTGCACGATCATCTCAGGAGAGTACGAGAAAACCAGCACCCCCGGCAAATACACCTACTACAACCCCAGTAAGTTGGGCTCGCTGGCGACCTGCTCAGCCCCGAGAGCCGTGGCATGGCTGGGCGGTGGGAACCAGCGCCGGGGACAGCTGGCAGCTGGGGAAGGGGTTCGGGAGAGCTGGGCTCGGAAGCCACGCCACAGTTTGGGTCATTTCCAGCCAAAGCGTGGAGTGAAGCTGGGGGAAAGAGGCTGTTCCAGCCCTGTCCCTGCATGGGCGCGGGACTATGGGATGTTCCAGTAGATCCCTCCCGTCCCCCAGGTCCCAAGCTGGGGCAGGATCCCACCAGCCGCATTTCAGGAGTGTTGGTGGTATCTCAGTTGTCTGCAGCTCTTGGTTTCCAACCCCCTCGACCAAGAAGAGGGTGGTGAACCTAAAGGGAGTTGGGGTTTCATCAGAGTCTGCTTCCCAAAAATCAGCTGTTTTGTTGAATTAGGTGCCTGATTTCAGCCCCCAGCTCTGGGGCTCTCTTAACCGCCCCGTTTCTCCCTAGGGGGCAGGAATGATGTCCCCTGTATCTCTGTCTCACCCAGAATGGGACGTGTCTATCCGGTCCTATGTGCTCCGCACCAACTATGAGGAATACGCTGTCATTCTGATGAAGAAGAAAAGCAGCTTTGGCCCAAGCACCACCCTGAAGCTGTACGGTACGTCTGGCTACGGCGCTGGTGGGCAGGCAGGCTCTGGGGTGGGCCAACGCAGCTCAGAAACACCACCCGAGGGTCCTTTGGCCTTTGAGGGACCTGGCCATGGCTTTGGAAGTGGTGCCTTGGACCAGCTCGTCTTTGGCACCACGGAGGCTGAGTCTTACGGCTCAGCTTAGAGCCACATCACACAGCGAACGTCCACGCCAGCCTGTTGTTTGGGATGAAGGTGGCAATATCTGCCTGGAAGAAACCCAGGCCCTGAAGTGGCAGGAGATACTGTCTTTCATGACTGAGGAGTACTAAAACCACTTTGTCCAAGGCCTTGGTCAAGGCTGTCGATAACGGAGGAGAGGTTGGCTGGGACCAGGCGGCTGGGCCTGGGCCTGCCTGCAGCTGCCCAAGCTCTGCAGGTTGGTGGGCGGCCACACCAGCCCACCTCACAGCCTGTTCCATTGCCCAGGGAGGAGCCCGGAGCTGCGAGAGGACCTCATTGAAGATTTCCAGCAGCTGGCTCTGGAGATGGGCATCCCCACAGACTCCATCTTCATTCTGGCCAACAGAGGTAACCCACCACAAGACACGCGTCTCTCCCACTGCCTGTGCCACTGGTGTGCCAGTCCACTGGGGCTGCTGCTTCTTGGTGTGCGAGGCTGGGGAGAAGGGGGGATGATCAGGGTGGAGAGAGTAGAGGCAAAGTTTTTGGTAGGAGGGGATGGGGAGGAGGCAAGGCCACGTATCAGTCAGGCTTCCACCAGCTTCCAGTCATTGGGTCCTTGCTGGGCTGTCAGTCAATCACCCCACGACGCTGTGCTGGGACGAGGGCGCAGGACGCCCAGGGACACTCATGGCTGCTCCCCATGGCTGGGTGCTCCCAGGACCTGAGGAGCTCCTTGCCCAGCCCAGGGGCCAGAAGGAGCTGGCATGATGCTGGTGGGTGTGGGGACTCTGGGGTGATGCTCCTGTGAGTGGGAGGTGGAAAGCAGCAAGAGGGGAAGAATGCTGGGGAGGGCATCCCCTTCCCCGGGGTCCTATGTGTGCATGGTGCAGGACCACGGTGAGATGAGTTTGTCAGGACACGACCCCTCTCATGCTGCTGATCTTCTCTCCTGTCATCTGGGCCAGGTGAATGCATCCCCCAGGAGACCGTAGCTGCCTCCCAGGTGAGTGGTCCAGCCAGGACCTCCTGAGGTGGATCAAGGCTGGGGACATCCCCTCCAAGCCAAACCTACTGGAGACCTGGTGTCCGGGGACCCGGCTCCATGGGCAGGACATGTTATTTGGGCAGCAGCTCCACTGACTGCCCTGGGAGATGATCTTCCATCTCCATTGAAGGGCTTTGCTCGCGAGGACGGGGGCACAGGCAGGCGCAGGCTGCAGGGTGAGGGGCCCAGGGACCAGGTGGACCTCGGGGCTGGTTTCCAACTGGAAGGCAACGGCGCTTTCCTGCTCTGATTTTTGCGCAGGGTGAAGGTTGTCACATGGCACTTCAGGTTATGGTTTAGTAGGCATGGTGGTGTTGGGTGGATGGTTGGACTCGATGATCTTAGAGGTCTTTTCCAACCTGTGATTCTATGTGGAGCCTGGTGTCTCCTTGCTCCTTGCCTGGCTGCGGGTGCCCCAGCCAGTGTGTGGAGTCCCAGCTCAGCACCCCGCTGATCCTTTGGCTGCAGTCACCCAGCTTCTCCCGATCTCGCGGGGTTGAGTTTAGAATGATTTTCAAGAGGGAATGGGACTTTCATAGGAGAAACAGCCCAGTTGACTTGAGAGCAGGTAACACATCTGGAGGACACACCACCCCGCATCAGCGAGAGGAGAGACACAACCCAGTCCAGCACAGGGCATGCCTGGGGTACTTCGGCTGCCTTGACCTGAAATACCCGATCCTGGCGCCCACCCGTGCTGAGCACAGGGCTGGGAAGATGGTGAGGTGTGGAGGGATCGCAGCCTGTTGCCCCACGATCAATTCCTGGAGAGGTGCTGGGAGCACCGAGGAGGGGGGGGGGGGGGGCTGCGTCGGGCATCCCCCTGCCCCGCATCCCCATTTGCCTGTAACCTCCGGTGCGGTGCTGGCCCGCAGACTCGTGCCGGCTGAGCCAGGACCCCTGGCTCTGCAGCGGGATGCTCTCCCGCTTCTTCTACAACTCCTCCTCCATGGCCTGCGAAACCTTCCTCTACGGTGGCTGTCTGGGCAACGGCAACAACTTCTACTCGGAGAAGGAGTGCCTGCAGGCGTGCCGGACGGAGGGTGAGCAGAGCGACCCGGAGACGTCCCAGCCGGGCGCGGGACCGCGGGTCGAGAGCACAGGAGGTGCCTTCGCTGAGGCATCAGAGGGGATCTGAGAGTGGCCTTGAACCCCACTTGTCCAGCATCCACGTGGGAGGTATGGGGGGGCCTGAGCCCCCTCGCTCAGAGCAGCCCCTGTCCCCGCAGCTGCCTGCAGGCTGCCTATCCTCCAGGGCCCCTGCCAGAAGCCAGTGACGCGCTGGGCCTTCGACGCGGCTCAGGGCAAGTGCATCACGTTCAGCTACGGAGGCTGCAAGGGCAATGGGAACCAGTTCTACTCGGAGAAGGAGTGCAAGGAGTATTGCGGGGCTCCTACGCTGGCAGGTACCTGCACCCTGCCCGCACCCTGTCTGCACCGCACCACACCGCGCTGTGCCGGGTAGCAGCCTGCACCATCTCCTGTCCCACTCCGGGCTGGGTCTGGGTGGGCTGGGTCTGCCTGGCGTTGGGACAGGGCTGTCCTGGGTCTGGATGGGTTCAGGACAGGTCTGTCCTGGGTCTGGGAAGAGTCCAGGATGGGTCCATCCTGGGTCTGGCATGGCTTTGTGCTGTGCCTGGGATGGGTCGGGAACTGACAGACTGAGGAACACGGTCGTTAATCTACAGGCAGTATCGCACAGCAGGGTACGTACTGAGACCAGGACTGAACTTCAAAGTCCGCCTTGACAAAAGGGGGAACAGCCCCGAGCAGGCTGGGGTGCAGTGGGGAGCGGTGCAGGTGACAGCCCCCGGGCAGAGGATGCCA